CTGCAATCAGGGTTGTTTTCCAGCAACCAAGCAGTGACAGAGAACAGAGAACATTGTTGTGCTTTAATGAGGGATTCCAGGGAATCAGAAAGGAAAAACGGATTTTTCATAACAGGGGAAGAGGTTGGTGCCTCTGGTCCCCGTAAATGAAATAAAGGTAGCATCAGGTTTCCTGCCCTTTTGTCAGGTTACAAGCCAGCCAGGGCACGTCTCACCCACTAGGAGATGCTCACATGGAGTCATCTAAGTCCAGAGTTAGGGTTTCTCTTGCCCCAGCACCCACAGGAGGATGTACCCACAGCTGGCCTGGGAGAGGCCAGACTGAAGGACAAAGATAAAAAATTTGCTCAGGTTGGTTTTGTCTGAATGCTTTTTTGTTAGTTACAGCTGAATCATTCATGCATCCAGGACTCACCCTACACATGTGCATCCTCTTGCGACCAGGGCACAGATGTGCCCCAGGGAGCTGATTGTTCTTCCTCGGGACTTTTCATGGAATTTCTGACTTTGGAGTCTCTTGGCAGGTTGCTTTCTAGATCCCACATGATGGGGCAGAATCCTTCATGCTGGAAATTGTTGCCAGACAGGTACAGTGAAGGTGGCATATCCTGTTCACTGTCACGGAATCACAGAATCATCTAGGTTGGAAAGGACCCTGGAGATCATCTAGTCCAGCCGTTCTCCTAGCACAGTTCCCACCTACAGCATATCCTTAAGCTCCAAATCGACCCTACTCTTGAACACCTCCAGGGATGGGGACTCCACCACCTCCCTGGGCAGCCCATTCCAACACCTAACAACCCATTCTGTAAAGAAATGCTTCCTAATATCTAGTCTGAACTTTCCCTGGTGCAACTTGAGGCCATTCCCTCTTGTCCTGTCGCTTTCTACTAGGCTAAAGAGGCTCAAATCGTCAGAATGGTTTGGGTTGGAAGGGACCTTAAAGATCATCCAGTCCCACCCCCCTGCCGTGGGCAGGGACGCTTTCCACTAGCCCAGGTTGCCCAAAGCCCCGTCCAACCTGGCCTTGAACCCTTCCAGGGAGGGGGCAGCCACAGCTTCTCTGGACAACCTGTGCCAGGGCCTCACCACCCTCACAGGGAGGAATTTCTTCCTTAGATCTCATCTAAATTTGCCCTCGTCTTTTCTTCAGCCCAGACTTGAGCACTGAACATTTGTGTGCCAACAGTTTGGTCAGGACAAAAGCATCTCCAGAAGTGGGCAGAGCATCTCCCCAGGTGGGCGATGGCTCCCAGATTTCCCGGGATGCAGGCACAGCCGCTCTGCCCTGCTCCTCAGAGAGTTGGGAAGCAACCATTTGCCTCATCCCCCCAGTGCCTCAGTTTCCCTTGGGTTGAAGGGAGCTGCCAATCCATCCCAGTCTCCCAGGCATGCTGCAAGGCTAAATTCACTAGAGCCTGCACGGTCTTCTTTGGATGCTATGGCGATGGGGCAATGCGAGGACATAGCCTGGCTGATTAGTATTGAGAAGCAAAATGTCCCTTAGCCCGAGCCTTTGGGCCACCTGTTTTCATTCCCCATCTCTGGGGCGAGCCTGATACAGGAATGGAGTCATGCAAAACAGCACAAAGTCTCTATTTCAGAGCCATGGTTGAGAAAATTAAAATGTAGTGTATTCAAAAGCCAGCTTCCCTGGATGGCAGACAAAAATAATCAATTTCCTTGAAACAAATACTAAATATTAATGAGAGGCAATGGTCTGCCATGCACAGAGGGCCGTAAAGAGCATTTGCCGTTGATCAGCTGCAGAGACAGGTTTGTGAGATTAAATTGCTTTTTGAACGGTTATTCCTGGCCCTTTTCGAGGTGGCTCAAGAAGGTTTGCCTGCCTGAAAAAAGAAAAGAAAACTCAGAACGTTGCCATTTTGCATCAGGACAGGCACAGGGGAACGTGTGCCGATGCTTTCATTTTTGTTTATGCAGTTGCCCGAGTGGTTGGGGAGGTGTCTCAGTTTGGTTACGCAGAAATCAGTCCCAAATTTACGTCGAGAAAGAGACAATTCCCTGGGAACATCAGCTGGCTGCGCCTGCCCCCGGCGAGCGCCGGAACGGCCTGCCAAAGGCAGAACATGGGACCCAAGAGCACTCCCTGGCTTTGCAGCCACATCCGCTCATTGATTTATTTCAATAACGAGCATTGGGGGAAACATTAAAAAAATTACTTACAGACTTCACCAAGTATCCTAAAGTGAAAGCAGAGGACTGGGAGCTTTGGAAAAGGAGCCTTGAATTTTTCTATTGCTTTGACCCTCGGGTAAGTCAGGAAACTTCGTTATAACTCAGTTTCCAAGCTCAGATGTTGGAAGAAAAATAAAAATGCTCCCTTCCTTCCCTCACTGGGACAGACAACTGTGGTGTGGGGCTTTTTTCTCCCGATGCTGTGCTTGCCTGTGGGCAGCACGTTGCTGGTCTCAGCTGGGAGGGCAAATAGCTCACCAGGAACAGCCACAGCCCTCCCGGGGGGCTGGCGGTTTCAGCCCTGCCGTGTCCCGCACACGGCCACGGAGGATGCTGAAAGAATTTTGCATCTGTTATGCAGTAAATAATAACACGTCGGTTCATGATTTTATAAAACTATTAAGCCAGCTGCACAGCCATGGGTCGAACAAGAGCTAATATTAGCTAGAAATGACTAAAATTAGAACCGAGCCAGAACTAATTGGTTGTTCACGGCATAGAACCAGAACCGGAACAAATTAATTGTTGCTGAAATAGCGCCGCGGGGCCTGGCAGGCGCTGTCATTTCCAGCCCCATGCAGGCTCCCACTCTGCTTTCCTTGGGATGACTCCCATGCGGGCTCGGAAAGGAGCCCAGGGTCCCATCCTAAAGCAGTGACAACTAAATAAAAGTTGGCGTCTTGGTCTCAGCCAGGGAGTCAGCAGCGACGTGATGTGGTGTGAGCCAGGCTGTGCTGGGAGCGATCCCCTCGCGGCTGAGCCAGCTGCCGGCCTGAAGGGCTCGGAAACACGTCCCCTCACCCCACTGTGCTCCGTCACTGCCCACATGGGCCGTTCTAAAAGTGAGGGTAATTCCCTCTACAGCTCCCAGAGGCAGACGGGCTCTCCCCTCTAATCCCAGCACCGCTGCCTTCTCTTTCAGCTTCAGCTTTGCCGCCGGCTGAGATGCTTTGCGAAGCTCTCAGAGCGAGCCAGGAGCCACCATCCGTACAAACACCGCCAGAATAATTTCCAGGGAATTAGGAAGTTGGTACAGATAACTGGCATGTGGCTCCATTTTTCCATCTGTGGCTCAATCACCTGTATGGTCACTTCCTTTTACTTTTCTAAGGTGGTAACTCACCCTATATTTCTTTTTCCACTCTCTCAGCATTCAAACAGCAGCTCCCATTTTAGCAGCAGTGTGACGCACAGTGTTTTAAATTCAATTTAGAATACAAACTATTTATACCAGCCAGAAAAAGGCAGTGAAGCAGCTCTCTCTGTCATGAGTGGATTTGTAATTTCAGAGCAATCATTGCATAACTAATTGAATCAGCTCTCAGCATGTGAAATCAGTGCCCTGCTTATCAGAGGTTTTCATCATTCTCCCCTCCTGAAGCCAACAGTCCCCCTCCACCAGCAGCACTTTGTGCTTTTGCATCAGCCTGGGAAGAAAGCGGGACCTGCAAAGCTGTCTTTCTCCGCTCAAATAGAGCCAATAAATTACCAAATACATTCAGAGTAGATGAATAGCTGGGTTGCAGGTGCCTCCCAAAAGCTGCCCAGGCTCCATGCGAGGGAGTGAAGTGCATTTGAAGCTAATGAAGTGCCAGCCGTGTCTGAGAAGCAAATTGGTGTTGAGATGTTCTGCTGACTCCCACCTCCCGCTTCATTGCCCAGGTGTGCTCTGCTTGGCTTGAATTTAGGGTCTGATCCAAACCCAGGCTTGACGCCTGAAAATGGAGCCTAAAAGAGGTAATAAATACAGCGACAGCTTTCTCAGGGATACAGGAAGTATAGAAAACAGAGTAGCTGTAAGGATTTTCATCAGCTTATGAGCGAGGGTCCTGGATTTGGTGACTTGGGTGGATCCAGCCCTGCAGATTGTGGAAGCAGCTCCAGGCACCTGCATGCAGCTGCCTCACAGGGTGAGAGGGCACCTCAGCTGTGAGAGGTTTTGGGCAGGGACCCATCAGCTTCTGCAGAACACAGAGCTTAAAATTACAGCCAGAGAAAAATGTGCTGTAAAGGATGCTAATGTCTCCCCAGAGATGCTGCTTGCATACACGTGAGTCCTGGGCTGTCACTGACATGCTGTATGGAATGGACTGAGACAGCCATGCAGGGAGGGGTGCTGAGTGTGGATGAGACCTCAATGGCTACAATTGACGAGTGCTAATGAAGGCCAGCTGGTTCAGGCTCTACAAGTGGAAGCAGTTCTCTGGGTAAAGCTAGTAGATCTTGTCTGAGGTGAGCTTGGGAGAATGCTTGTCAGACTTTTCTGGATGTGTGTATGGAAGAGTTCTTGCTGGGTATGATCCCTGAGGCTGGGTGTAGGAGATGACAGAACCCAGAGAGATCTGAGTGTCCCTATGGTCCATCCCTTCCTGGGAATCTGTTTTCCTTCTGGGAGAGTAATACTGGGCCCTGTGACAGGGATCTGTTTGCCTTGGTGGCCTAGGGACCACCTTAGCAATGCTCTTAGCCTTGTTGCGCATGTGTTATCCAAGCCACATATTCCCCAAAACTAATGTATAGGGGTGGGTTTTTTTGGTTCTTGGTGCTGCTGGCTGGACTGGTGTGCAATGGCATATGCAATGCAAGCGCTAGCTGGAGCTGGCATGAGCAGGAGAAGGAGCTTTCATCCCCAGGCTTGGTTTAAGCCACATCCCATCAGTGGCCTCTGCTTGCTTCTCACACAAAGTCACTCAGGCGGTGTGTGTCCCCGCGTGGGGCGGAGGCTGTGGGATTCACACTCCTGGGGCAGCATGTGCCCAGGCACTTCCAACCACTTGCTTTGTTTTCTGTTGTCTCTTCAGGTAGCCAGATGGGAGCACAAAACGCGAGCACTCAGCCAAGTCTTCGGCTCTCCACGTGCTGCCTGCTACTGCCTGGGTGCTGTTATCCTGATGCTTAACTGTGTGCGGAGTCATTGGTAAGGAGTAAACCAACTGCTCTGTGTTGATGCAAAGAAATGCCCCTATGGAGTGGGGAGGATGAGGGATATTTGCTCTGCAGTCCTGCATCCAGCCCCAGTGTGCTGGTTTTATGTGGTTTGATACCTTCAACTGGCAGTAGATTTATTCCAGGATTTGAAATAAAGACAAGGGATGCACCAGTGTGGTCAAAATCATCAGTGTCAACAGCCTTTGAGGGTCATGGGTTTCCTTGCTCTGCTCTCTGGGGGTGGTTCCTCTGCGCTGTGAGCAGCCCAGGTGACAGAAGGGCTGTTTACATAGGATGGATCTTTAATTTTCTTGTAAAATTCATAAAATTAAACCTGTTTTTAAGAAGATGCAGTTTCCTGTGTGAGCAGGATTATCCGTGCGCTTAGCAAGCAGTCTCTTTAAACTCTTATCTGCAATCTCTTGAAATACTACCTGTGCCAGCTAATAGTATTGTATGACTGATGCACCATACACCATGGGAATACGTCCTCTGACGTTCTGAGTGCAGCAAAGAGCTTTACTGCAGAAGATTTCCTCAGTGCCAGCAATTTATCTGTGATCTGGTAGGCTTTATCTTCAATGCTGTTAGGAGAGACAGACTCTCACACTAAATTCCCAGATTCAATTATGCCAGGGTCAGAGCTAATGGGTTGTTTAGTACTTTGGGTAATTTCCCGGGCGCAGAGATCTCGGGTTGGAATTCGTACATGTATTTAAGTGCTTTGCCTTCCTGGAAGTGACACCAAGACCTGCCCTTGCCCTTCTGTGTTTGTCCCAACTACTACTTATTGCAGAAACTGTAAGAAAGCTTGCAATGAATGGGGCCGTAATTGAATGCAGGCGATGTGGAAGGGCGTGTGTGTGTGCTGCTGATGCTTTAGCGACTCGGCGGGCTTGGATTTTGCTGGGGAATGTCTCAGCAGTCTCTTGTACAGATGACACAGTTGTTGTCTGGGATGAAATGCAAAGCCTTGTGCTTGCCTTTAATTAAAAACACAGTTGATGGAGGGACAGTCTCTGTTCCCAGTGGTCAGTGAGGCTCACTGGGTCACAGCAAGGCACCAATGAGGAGCTGCTGGGAGAGCAAAGAGGCTTCATCTGTCCCAGCAATACATCACGTTTTCCCCCTGCAGACCTCTCAGTGCCCTATCAGGGCTGGCATCTCTCTGTGTCATGAGTTTGTGAGTGCTGTGGGACTCATGGGGGGCAGCTCTGCCTGCACAGCCCATGAGGTGAGTCCTGAAGGAGATAGGCTAATTCGGGGAACTGGAAAAGCCCAACTTGGACTTTTGGGTTTGGAGGAAGGTCCCTGGAAGTTGGGGCATCTCACCCCCAGCAGAACATGGATGAGGCATCAGCCCATTGCACTTGCCAGTCCACATGATGGGCCAAGGCTGTTTCAGATGATTGCAGTGTGAAGTTTATTTTGCCCAGGTTTTTCAACATGGTTGTGTTATTCCCTTCCCTTTCCTTGGCACTGAATTTGGCCTAAGTGACAGCTAGCAGGCTTTGGAGGCTGTTCAAGCAAGGCAAGCTTGATCATGGGAGTGATGGGATGGTTTCAGGGTGGTCATCAGAGCAGCAACTGCTGGAGTTGCCCTGAAACAGACCCGAGAGACTCATTGCCTCCATTCCCAGCTCAGCTACAGGACTGCCCAGGGCTTATTTCTCAAGCCTGGAGAGGTGGTGCTGTTTGGGAAGGACTCATCCTTCCCCTTGCCCTTTCAAGGTATCAGCCAGGTCCAAACTGGGGTTTGGCTGGCCAGAGGGGGATCACAGGTCATACAGCACGAGCACAGACATTTTGGTGGCCAGTGTTGCTGGGAGGCACGCTTCTCACACCCTCTTGCTATTTTGCTTTTCCCTTTATTTTATTTTACGAGTCGCTTGTATTTGAGTGCCCTGATGAAAGCAGGTTTTCCACTCCTTAACCCTGCAGAGGCAATCCAGCCAGCAAAGCGCAAGCTGTGCCTCGCGCTTTGACTGCACACAGCGGACAGGGTTGCTTGCGCAGAGTGTGCTGGCTGCTGATAGCAAGCAAAAAGACAGCCTCGGGGGGTCCCTCCACCCCCGGTGCTGTAATTCAACCTTTAAAACTCCTCTCTGCGTGCTTTAGGGACTCTATGTGGGTGGGGGCTGCCAGGGAGAGATTGAGGAGCCTACGGGTTGTCTCTCTTGTTTTTAAAAACCTGCTTCCTTTTTGCAGCTGAATTTTTGAAAGGCTTCAAGCTGGGGCAGAGGAGGGGAGGGCAGAGCACACAAAAACTTTACGTGTGGGTTGGCATTCTGGTTGAAAGCACCCAGGAGCTGGGCTGTGTGGCTGGTTTGCCCCACACGGGAACCTGTGCCGTGGTCCTGTCCCCAGCTCAGCACTGCGATGCTGTCATGCAAGCTTTGCTCCAGAGGGATACCTTGGGTGTAAGAAGAGGAATGTCTTGTTCTCAATTAAGCAATTAGGTGCTTCCCAGCTCTGAGCTTCATTATCAGCCTTGGCTTGTTTCTGAGAAGCAATCCAGAATGACCTGTGACCAGGGGGGACCTGCTTAGTCAACTGTACAAGACAAGCATCCTTAATTGCTTTGGTGCAATGATTATTTTCATTACAGCTGTGTTCTTTCTGCAAAAAGCAGGGAACTTCCATCACTGAGGCTCTTATCTGTAAAAACAATTCATGAACTTCTGAACTATCTGCACTACATACGCTACCCCAGCGGTTTATGACTGTTATCTGTGTGACATGGGACGTGACAACCTTCATTGTCCTCCAGACTCGCATCCAGCATCGTGCTCTCCTGCCTCACCACATTGATATTCTTCCCTGCATCAACTCTCCAATTAGCAACTGGTGCTGCCTCCCAGCCCTCCCATGCTGCCTTTTGCACACCCTGGCAAACTCCCCATCTCAGAGCAGGTGTGTGCAGGTGGCTTTGTATGCTTATGAACTTCCCACCTTAAGGGTTTGGGGATGTTTGAGCTGTAAAGGCAACACCCACATGCACACCCTGAATGGGGGGGTTGCAGATGGGGGGGTGCTTGGGGCTGTGATGCCTCTGGTAGGAGCAAGCCCTGCAGAGGCTGAGCAAGAGTGTAATGGTTGGACTAGATAATCTTCAAGATCTTTCCCAACCTTGATGAGATGATGATTCTGTGAGGGCAGCACCCTTGACAATGGGCTTGGTGGGTACTACACTGCCAGCTGACATGAAGTCCTCCTTTGATACTACCCACTGGGTATTGCCTCCTGCATGGACATGCTTCTCGCTTGGAGCTGACAATTTCAAAAAAATTAATCCATCCTGGGATGGGATTTTGGACTGGGAAAGGGTTGTTTGTCATTACCTGGTAGTGCCTCTTGCCTTTGCGCTCAATACTATTTAATTTTGTGAGCTAGTACTGTGAATGAGCATGGCATAAATGGTATCGATCCAAGAACCATGTGGCCTTTTGTGCAGAAGTGACCAAGTTCAATGATGGGAATTGAGCGTGGCCTGAAGGAGCTGATGTCCCCTCCGAGCCATGCCTCCAGCAATCTCTGATGGCTGGCTGGGAAGAGCCCCCGGCAGCTTGGCTGCCGGGCATCCGGATGAGGAAACCAGGCAGCTGAGATGTGAGGTGGCGGGAGAAGCTGCCGCAGCCCCCACCTGACCTAAATAACATGCACAACAGTGCTGGCAGAAAAGCAAAGTCATTATTGGCAAAAGAAGCTGTGAAGATGATGACCAGGCTAACAATTGCCTGTGGTATCAGCAGGAAGATTTTAGTGTGGTTGGGGGTTGCTTTTTTTTTCAAATGAACAAGATCTTTTGTCCCAGTATGTGCTGCTGGGCACCACCGGATGGTTTTATCCCCATTGCCTCCTTTTTCTGAGAGGAACAAAACCTCAGACACAGGGGACGGGCTGACATCCCGCATGGTGAATGTGGCACCTTGCAGCGGTGGCTACTGCTTCTGAAACCTTGGATGCTGCTTGCCAGCCTCTGGCCCAGTTCTGCCTCAGTTGCCTTTGCCAGCCCCAGCTTCCCAGCTGATATTTGGGATCAGTCAAAGGGAGCGCTGTTAGGCTGCTCCCAGCAGCAACCCAGTTTGCTGGTTGAGGTCTTTGCCCTCCTTTACAAGAAAGGGATGACAAAATATGTTCACTGTGGGCCATTGAGAGAGGCCCAGAGACCTAAAAAGCTCAGCTTCTCTCTTAGTACAGTATTTCTAGGTTTGCTTTGTGCTCCAGGCAGCCTTCGGCGATGTATTTTGGGCTATAGGCTTGATAAGTTTTCTGGTGTTGGAATTGCTGCTCTCTAGTTGGATAAATCAGTGCCTGTTTGTGCAAACCTGGCTGCATGTCCTCTCTTGTGTCCCAGTGAGAGGACCTGCAGCTGATTTTCCTTCCTCCTGCTTTCTTCCTGCAAGCCCACCAGTGTGACATCTGCGTCCCCATGCTTCAGTAACATTTTGAATGTTTTTTCCAGTTCATGTGGCTTATGTGGTAAACTGGAAGATGACAGACTCAGGATAGATACAAGGGAGAAATTTTGTATGATGAGGGTGGTGAAACACTGGAACAGGCTGCCGAGAGAGGTGGTAGATGCCCCATCCCTGGAAACATTCACAGTCAGGTAGGACAGGGCTCTGAGCAACCTGATCTGGTTGACGATGTCCCTGCCCATGGCAGGGGCTTGGACTAAACGACCCTTAAAGGTCCCTTCCAACCCAAACCAGTCTATATTTCCCATGAAGCGGTGATGCATGCATGGTGATGGGTGAGTGTCTGAGCAAGCACGTGTCTGATTTGGGAATGGGGGCAGAACGATGCCTGCTGCCATGGCTTCCCCGTGCACAGCCCTGCAGCACGCTGTGGCAGTTGTGCAGCCCGACTGTAGCCACCAGGGCTGCTCCCACCCTGCCAGGAATTGCCCAAATCTGCTGGTCTGGCCAGAGTGGAGCTGATGGGTTTGGGGTTTCCCCTTTTGGGGGTGGAGAATGGGTGCCTCTGGTGTCAGGCTTCATGCTGGCAAGCGTGGGGAGAGGTCAGGGGAAGCCTCACTTCCCTAGTTTCCCTTTTCCAAAGCTGGGGGTATCTTCCAGGCTGTACACCCTGCCCCTCCCAATGGCAGACATCCTCGTGATAGCAGCCAGGTATGTGATTAAAGTAGGTCAGAGCCCACTCCCCCTCCCCTGCACTGGTAATCGGGATGCTCCTCACCATGGCAATCACTCCACTCAGCACATAAAGCATTTTCAGGTACTGGGACAAAGTGTGGCTTTAATTGGTGTCCTCTTGGGTACCGAGCTGGGCTGCTGCCTTGTTGTGCAGCCAGGAATAAATGCTGTAACAAACGTGACTCAGAGGCACATGGTGAAAGGGACTGGTTTCATGACAGATTGGCTGCATGACTAGCTCCCCCGGCAAGGGAGATGGCCGACACCTTGTCCTCCCCCTGCCAGGGAGGGTGAAACACAGCGCGCTGAGGCTCCCCTGCCACCGAGGAGCAGTCACGGATGCCAGAATAATTGACGACTCCGTGCTGCTTGTCATGGCCCAGCATCATAAATGCTTAAAAGGTTTATTTACCAATTCTGAAAACTCCTGTGCGCATCATGTTTAATGCAAATAGAGAGTGTGTTTAGGAAGATATAAAACATTACTAGAGGGAAAGGCAGTCCATTATCTCCGTGCAAACACCTCCCTCTCTAGCTGTAAGCCAAACAGCAGGGGACTGAGCAAGACATGCTGATGAGGATAACTAACGCAGGCCTATCCAACCATGAAAAGGAAGGATGGGATCATCTGGAGCAAGGGAGGCAGCTTTGCCAAAACAAACCACATCACGTGCTGGTTGCAAAACCTCCCAAGGCTGATTCACAGTCAACCAGTTCACACTCTTGAAGCCACCTTTGCTCTTCTCATGCTCCAAGGCTAAGTAGGTCACCAGCATTGGATAGAGGAGTAAGACAGTGTGAATCCAGCTCATCCAGAGTGAGAAGCTGCCTCTGAGGGCTGTGCTCTGGCTGTACCTCTCTTTGCTCCGCCATCTCTTCACTGGGGCTGGGATCCAGGCAGGGGCCAGCTCTTCCTCTGTGGAGCAAAGAGCTCCAGAGCATCGCCAGGGATGTCATGTTGTACTGCGAGAGCAGGGCCAGGCCAGGATTGCTCACGGAGATGGACACAGGCCTACAGGGGGATCGCTTTCCTCCCAAATCCAGGCAGTATGGTAGCTGGGATGCAGATTTGGGTTTCCTCACAGGGGAGAATTGTGTCACTTAAAAATAAATCCCAGGGAAATGATGCAAAGGATTGTACAGCTGCTGCTGCTATTTCATGTTGCAGCCAGGTTTCTGTGTTCCCATCAGTAATGATTTTAAGCTAAACCAATGGAAGCCTGGTGAGCACAGGGAGGTGTGCTGGGAGCTGGAGGAGGGCCAGCCCCAGGGACATGTGCCATTACATTGCCCGGGGCCACGCTGTCTTTCCTCTCCCTGGAAAAGGGAATTTCCCTGTAATTTCCAGCATGGGGGATAGAGTGTAAATCACCAAGATGCTGTATTCTTGCTTGCTCCCAAGCACATTACGTTTATTCTGTGTTTTGTTTCCTTGCTGTAGGTCTGAAGTGAAGATTAAATAGCTTGCTCTGGAATCCTAAAAAATCCCTGACAGTAGAAAATCTAGTAGGAATGATCTCCAAGGAAAACAAAAAATACCATGCAGGTCACTAAACCATGGGGTTTAAGTATCATCTTGGACTTTGCTTGGTGCATGTAACTTGCCATCTGGTCTTTGGGCTTCTGAAAGGTGTTTCCAGCAGCTTGTCCACTAGCCAGGCAGGCAGGATTGTTTCCTTTCAGCTTTCATTTGGACAACAGAGAAAATCCAAGGATTTGCAGAGCTTGGGGAAGCTGGACATCGGGGAGGAACAAACTACCCCAAGCCCTGTAGGTTAACTTCTTGGAAGCACTTTCCAGCTGAGGAGCCTGGGAGCACGGGCCGGAGCAGTTCTCCTGGCCTGGCCCTGGCAGGCAGCTGTGGCCAGAGGTGCAGGAGAGCTGTTATTCCACTTGAATTTCAGCCTCCAGGGTGCTCATTAGAAAAAAGGCTCAAAGTTTCCTACCTCATATGTCAGCAACATGCAGAGAAACACTGTGTACAGCTCTGCAGGTCTGTTATCTCCTCTCACTATTATTAATGGGCATTTTTTTAATCACGGTGTTGTCTCCTTTGTCGTCATACGTTTGTATCGGAGCTATGTGAGATGCTGAGCCTGCCAAGTCCTGCTCCGGGCAAAGTTCAGGGGGATGAAGGGAGGGGTCACAATTATTCCACTCACAAATGAGTATTTGGAAGCTCAGACCTGAAATGCCTGAACAAGCCTGGAGCTGAGAAGCTGTGTTCGCACTTGAAAATGTGTGTCTCTAGTATTTTCCTTTTGCCGTTCCAGTCCTCCCCCTGACTGTCAGGCTTCAGCCGTGAATCACTCCTGGGCACGTGGCTAACACATGAATGCTGCAAAATATTTTGATGGAGAGGAACGGGGGCGGGAGAATGAGATAACCCAGCTGATTGTTCCCAACCTTTCAAGTCCTGTGCTGAGGCATCACAGCCTCCAGCACTTGCAAGGGCGTCTTTCCCAGAGCTCCTGGTGATGATGAAACCTGGGGTTTGGTGAGCAAGGCAAAGCTTTTGATATTGCATTTCAGTGGGGTTGGTATTTCCAGGAGCAAGCAAGGGTTGCATGTGGAAGTAGCTGCCCCAGGTCAAGCTCTGGCTGGTCACAAGGCTTTGGCTCCTTGCTTCTCCTGGTAGGAAGTTGAGTAGGTCCAGTTGGAAAAAGGGACCCAGCGAAGGGTCCTCTCCCAAAGCTCCTAATCTCCCAGGGAAAGGTAGGTGATGTTGGTAATGAGTTGCTGCTTTTAACAGCCCTTGTTGTTTCTCTGACAGCTTCACAGAAGCCATGAAGAGCCAGCCAAAGCTGGAGGGCTTGGACTCCCACTGGGCCTATTACTTGGGCTTGGCCATCTTGGCTTTAGGGACCTTGTTTGTCATCTCCAGCTTCTTAGCACTGGGATTCACTGGGACATTCCTAGGTAAGCACTGAATATTCAACAGCTTAACCAGAAAGTGCATTTAATACTTGCAGGGGTCTTTTGCTAGGGCAGAGTCCTGTAAGAACTTGCTCATTGTTGTCTTCAGGGCTGTTAGATTTGGTCTCGGCTTTATGATACCGAAGCGTGATCTAACCGTGCTGTTGCCTCACATGAAGAAGGTGGTGCTGTAGTTTTATACAGTCAATACCATCACCTTCAGTGTCAAGCCTGAAATTTTGGAAAGCAGCTGATCATCTGGCAGTCCAAATGCCCTCCAGAAAAGGGATCCCACGAGCAGGTCAGCACCGGCACAGCAGGTGTGAGCTGTCCGGCAGCCTTGATCTGAGCCCCCAGCCGCTCGGCACACGCGCCAAGGCTCGATCTCGTTTGCTTTTCCCTCTGCAATAAACCTGATGTTCGTTGACAGATTCTTTTATCTGCCGCTTTATGGCAGAAGGCATTTTCCACTGTGCCTGCTTTCACATTTAGAGAGTAATTCTATTAGCACTGTTGACTTTAAAAACATGCCAGTATGTGTGGAATTCAAAAAAATAAAATAGAGACAGAAACAATAAATATCTAAGGAAAGGGGCAGCTCCTGCTGGCTGAAATAATCACAGCCCCAGCTTTGACACTGCATTTAGGCTGTGCTTTTGCAAGTGCTTTACAAACCAAATTCAATTAGCCCCTGCAGCGTCGCCAGGAAGAAGAGGGAGGTAATAAGCCTTCCTGGTTTCAAGTGGAGTTGCAAAGAAATGTGTTGAGTTGGCCAAGATCCTGCAGCCAGAAATAGAGCTCAGCACTCCCAAATGTGTGCCTACACCCTTCATCTTTGCAGCCCTGCTCCTGGCCCTGTGTTACGCCCCTGTCCCCCAGCTACCAGGCACCAGCACCCTCCAAAATCACCCACATCACCTAGGAGTGATGCTGTGCCTGCGGAGACGTGTCCAGAGAGGCCAGGTGCAGGAGTACCCGCCAGCGAGAGCTGCTTGAATGCTCCTGAAGCTCAGCCAGGTCTGGGGTTGTTTACGTAAAGCCTGATTCATCCAAACAGGAGGATCCACTGGACTTGAACCGCTGGAGAAAAGCAAACAAGTGAGTCAGGCTCAGCGTAAGCAGTGAGAGTGGCCCTATCCCCCTCTGCTCTGCATGGCCAGTGGCTCCCGTAGCCCCCAGGGCAGGGAAGAGGCAGGTGTTAGTGGCTCGTTATTGGGCATTTCTGCTCCATCCGCTCTGCCAGCAGAGGCTCTCCCTGCCACCAGCACCTCAGGCTGAGGGCTGCACGGCCCCAGGCCTCACCTGATGCAGCAGGGGGCAAGGCCAGCTCTCTCTGCTAGCCGGGTCACAACAGGCACCGGGGCAGAGCTGAGTCAGGGGGGGGAGATGCCAAAACCATGTGCTGGTACAGCCCAGTTGGCTCGAGACCTCTGTGCCACAGAGGCAGGGCCCAGCTGGAGCCCTGCAGAATGTCCATCCTTGCACCAACAGCGACTTCTCAGCTCTGTGTGAGCACCCACGAGTCTAAGTCAGCCCACTCAATGGAGAATGCTGCTCAGCATGGTTTCTTACCCAGCTGCGGGGAAGACGAAGAGGTCTGCAGGTCTCTGAGGATCTTGTGTGGGATGTTGATCAGGACTCTCTTGGGATTGGTACTTCCAATGCCCTCCTGTATGCAGGGTTTCAGTGCTGTGTGGGTGCTGCGGCAGGAGCAGGGTCCCCTGGCAGTGACAGTGCCTCTGACTGCAGGTAGCAAAGGGCTGCGCTGCTTTGGCAAGAAGAGGGTTATAGCATCATCCAGCTGCTTGTTACGGTCAATACCTGAGCTCGAGTGAAGTTTTAAGAGAATCTGACACTCAAGCACTTCAAAAACCTACTGGAACAGCACTTGACCCTTCCTTTTTGGGTTTTCCTGCAGCAGTGAGGGTTGAACCAGGCAGGGCACAGAGACCACATCGAGGCTGACTGTTAGATTCCTTTTTAACAGCACGTTTAAGCTTTGGATCATCTGCAGAATGCTCTGTCTCGTAAGTGTGGGCTAAACAGTGCAGTGGCAGCCGTGTGAGTCACCCTCCTGCACCAAACCTTTCTGTGCCCCCCCATCTCCTGCATGCAGCACTGACCCCAGCCTATATGTGCAGGGGCTGGATGCGACCCCTTGCCCTGACAGCCTTCTCCCCTGCAGAGCAGTCCTCCCAGCACCCCTGCTCTGCACCATGCCCTCGCAGGGATTCGGGCATTTGTGGCGCCGTCTGCCTCGATATTTGCTCTATTTCCTGACAAATGCAGTAACAACGGTTCGGCTTCCCCGAGGCTGAGGGCACCAAGAGGTGGCTGGACCTGTCTGAGCCCATCTGTCTCGCACCTGAGCGTGGTTCCTTCCAGCGCTGACCAACATTTCAAGTAAATCTGACTTGACCGAAGTCTGTCACCAGGCTGTGGTGAAGCTGGAGGGAAGCAGGGGTGGTGCTTCAGCCCAGGTCAGGCTCCAGGGATCGTGGGGGGCCCTGCAGAATGCATCAAATGGCTTTTTGCTGCCATGATCCAAAGTGCCTACCCTGTGCAGTGAGATGCTTACACTGACTTCCAGCAAAAAATAATCCAAATTAGATGCCCAAGTCCCTCAGCCTGACAAGGAGCAGATTCCTGTTTTGAGAGTGTAATGGAGGCACAGGAGATGCCTAAGCTGATGCTCTGCAAACCAACCCATTCCCTTAACACCTGCCTGAATATAAAAATACTGCAGGTCCTCTCTGGTGGTCATCTTTACCTCTGTGGGTTTAGAGGCAGGGTTTTACGTCAGAAAAGCTTGTGTCCTGGGGGAGCTCCCTGCTCCCCCCAGCCGCTTTGTGCTTGTGGGGACCCAGGCCGGAGGGTCCTACAGCCCCACCAGTGTGGGGCTCAGATAAGCCCCTGCCAGCCCCACAGACCCAGGGCTTTGTGCAAACCTCCCCAGTGCCAGTGCTGTTTGGGGAGCGAGTGTTCAGCCCAAAGGCGAGGGCGGGCAGGGTATAATGAAGCATTTTGACATATAAGAAAGCACAGAAATGGGCTGTGGCAGGGGGTGATGTGTTCTTTCTACCAGAACAATCTCGGAGATGCATTGCCAAGTAACTGTGAGAACATATAGTATGAATACCAGGCAATTATCTCACTTAGTGGCCTGTAGTTAAAGCCCAAAAGCATTGTCTAATTGGGCAGGCACTGTTTATCCTTAGAAATAAATGTTTTTGCACCGTGTGAGGTCAAAGAAATTACACTACGATCCAGGTAATAATAATAACCTTGAATAGTTTGCACTCCTGTAATGCCTTTTATCTGGATTTCAGAGCACTTTCTCACCATACATTAATCCTCACCACCCTCTGCGCTATAAGAAAGACTGATGTTATGATCGGTGCACAATAGCACCGGGAGGGACGGAGGAGACTTGCCCAAGGTCAGGGAATGGGCTGACAGCAAAGCTGGGAGCACAGCCCAGGGTGGTGGCAGCTCCCCGGGCTGATGGACCGGCACTGCTCCTCGCTGATTGATGGTACAGCTTGTGCACTGGACATGGAGCAAAATCCTTGCTGGGTTTTGGGGTCTTGCTTGTAAGACCAGTAGAAGTCAGAGATGGCCCTTTGTCCCTCCAAAATTCCCCTCACAAGCTGCACAACATCTTGCTTGTCATTTCTTTTCCAAGCTCCTTTCAGGAGGGTGGAAGGATTATTCTGAGGTAGATAGGAAGCTGGTTGGGTGCTGACAGTTCTGAAAGCTTTCCTCATTACAGATGACAATCACCTATTATCATCATCATCATGCCGATAATTGAGCGTTTTGTAGGCAGAGGTGCTATTTTCTGAAATTCTGAGAAATTCTCTGAACTATGAGATAAGGATGACACTGAGTGAGGGCATTTGGTGGTGGCAGTCGTGATTTTAACATCTCGAAACACCATTACAGTGCACTGGGCTTATTTCCCCATTAAATGGATTTGATCCTATGCACTTGCTTCTTTGTCAAGTGGCATCAGATGGGCAGTTTTCAAATGAGAAAGCCAGAATCAACCAGTTGGGACCTCAAGAGCTGCCTCTTGATGAGGGACGTGGCTGCTGTAGCCTCATTGCAATGCACAAACCTTCCCGGTGGGCGAAGAGCTATTCCCAGAAAAGCTGACGGTCACAGAGTAAAAGTAAACAGCCAACCTATTTGTTGCTGTTTTCTCATTCAGCCGGAAACCCCCTCGTTTGCCTTCACTCTGCATCCCTGGCAGGGATGCCCCATGGCACTGGGAGAGTATCAGTGTGCTAAAGCCCCAATTCCCAGCTTCATGGAGCCTAACCAGAAACCCTCTGTTTGTTCTGTAGGTGATTACTTCGGCATCCTGATGGAAGCAAAAGTGACCAGCTTCCCCTTCAGCATCCTGGATAATCCTATGTACTGGGGCAGCACAGCTGTCTACCTGGGTTGGTCCCTCATGTGAGTACATGCCCTTGCAAACAGCACCGGTCGCGGGGCGAGCGTGGGGTCTGTGCTTGGCAGGGCATAAAGCGCTGGGTTGCATCAAGGGTCAAAGAAGTTCTCGGTGATGGCAGTCAGCAAAAAAAATGGTAGGGAAAGTGCAACATGCCCTGACTTCTCGCTTTCTGACTATTTTTGTGTGTGCAAAATCTTTTGCTGTCATAAAGGACTTGCAGCATTAATTGTAGAAAAATAAATAACGGGCGAGTGCTGGGGAGAGGAAGCATCACAAATGCTCTGCAGCTGAATGAAGTCCTTGGCAGGCTCTGCACGTGGAAAAATCAACAGTCAGGGCCAAATTCACGCCGGGTGTCACTCGGCAGGGGCAGGGCACTGATACTGGGGATCAGTGTGACCCTGTAATTACCTCTGAAGAAAGCAAAACAAGCCAACACACCCTTTCCCCCACTGCATGGTGATAACACTTCCGAAACACTCCTCATGTGATACAACACAGTTTAATAGCCTGCTTAGGAGGAAATGAATAGGCTGTAATTTAGCAGTAAATGAGCAATATACTCTATTCTGTGTAACAAGTTTTATGTGGTTTTCATTTAATATCAGATTTTATTTATTTGCCCAGGAGAAAAAGCCCTGGCTGTGTCACACTGGGAGCCCTCAGAGCATTGCGGGCCTTTATCACTAGATATTTTGCACTGGTGCCACTGAGTGTGACCGCCTCTCTTCTACTTCAGTGGGGAAAATGAAGTGATTTGCCACTTTCTGGTCACCTTTTCAGCCACGTGCGCAGCACTTTCTGGCCCCTGTCAATAAATAAAGCTGATGGTTTCTCTCCTGTCTCCTCTGAGCCTTGCTGCTCTTTGTTCTGCACTGGAAATTCCCCCCGGTGTTGTCAGCGCTGGCTGCATGAAGCCGTTTTTGCCTTCCTGGAGACCCATGACACTGGACGGGGTCTAAACCCTCTGCCTGAGAGCCAGAGCCCGCTCATTGCTGGGGCTGTGGCAGTGCCAGCCGTGGGGTCGGCACCAGCGCGATGGCAGCGTGGATATTGCTGCAGGGAGGGGGGCGGAGCTGGGGCAGGATGAAACCCCCCGCACCGCAACCGGAGACGATCAGTACCACCACCCCTACCACAGCACAGAAGGAGGAATTTGACCAGGGGGAATTATAAGGATATTTTGATTTAAGATCAGCATCAAACTGTTTCCTAGAACATTTGCAGAACCAGCTGAGTCTTCCTGAGCTGTTCCTGTCGCAGAAATCCCTTATTTGCCCCTGTGAGAGAGTAACCTTGCACCTGGTGCACATGCCTTGGTCTTCCACCACAATCCTGGGCAAAAGCAGCCTGAAGCAGCTCAAAACAACAGTGTGATTGCCTCCTTTTTCTCATTAAAAGGCTGCCACCACAAAGGGCAGTGAGGCATGACAAATAATTGCTGTTAACAAATTGCTGGAGCTGTGTAAAGTGGCACCAGGACACCACCCGCCTGCCCTGGGGAAGCTCTGCGCAACCCTTCATGCAATGAGTTTGACTATTTCTCTTCCCTGGGATCTCAGCTCGTGTTGCTGAAGGGTTTTTTTGGAGTCCCAGGTCTTTTCTGAGGTCCCAGGGCTTTCAGAAGATGTTTGGTGTCTGCCCTCGGAGGCCAGAGCTAACATCCCAGCTCGGTGGCAGTGGGAGGGATGCTGGAGGAATGTGTCTGCCCTCTGGTTCTGGTCAGAACTGAAATGTAGAATGTATCTGTCCTCCCTCAGTGATGTGTCACACTCCATATCATGTTATCGGAGCCCAAAGGATTTTCAGGATTTTCATCTGTAAGGGCACAGAGCACATAACATAAGCGAGCCTGGCTGCACACCAGCCAGCCTGCCTTACAACTCTAGTCCAACCTTAAAAGCATTGCATGGGGCGAGAGCTGCTCTTTTCTCCCTGGCAGGTTACTGCAGCTGTCCCTGGTTTGGATAATGGCAGCTCTGCAGTCGTCAAGAACATGTCTGTCAAATACACCTCCACCAGTCACCATGAAAACAGGAGCTTCAGGAAGGGGCAAAGCAGGTGTCCCACATCCAACACCCAGGACCAGTGGGAAAGCATGCAAGCGCTGACCATGGCTCCTTGCAGACAACCCACAGCCATGGGGAGCTGCAGCAAGGGTTGGGGACAGACAGACTTCCTACCCAAAAAAAGTCCTACCAGGATCACAGAACCTTTGTGGTTGACTCTTTGTTGACCCTGCTACAACACAAGCTGTTGCCTGATAAATAGGTCGAGCTTATAAGAGGAGAGAAACAACTCACCCAAGTGCTTCTCATCGCCCGCATCGAGCAGCCTCGTTTCTCCTGAAAGACAAATAGAGCATTAGCTGTTTGGGGACAGCTTTGTGTATCTTTGGTAGGGAAGTGTTTTAACTCATGGCAACAGGCTGTGTAAATCAGAGCTGGCACTGCAGCCAAATGATGCAATTAGAGGTCTTGCTGTCAACAAACAATCATGCAAATTTGTTCTCTCTGATAGGAATCAAGGAAGAGACATGACTAAGCATGTAATAGCAGGGGGTTGGGAGAGGAAAAGTTGCCCGATGCTTCCTAATGAGGGAAAAACTTAGTGCAAAATGGAAACAGTGAAAAGGTGGAGATTTGTGTGTCTCTCCAGGAACTGATGTGGCCAGGCAGTACCTGACAGCAGGTCCAGGACCAGGTTTAGATAGTTTAGTCTCTGCTCTGAAGGCATGTTTTCCTGACAAGACCAGCCTTACACAAGACTTGCAGGATGTTTATCCTCACCAAGGACCAGCTAAGTACTTTTTTTTTGCTGACAGCCAGCTCTTGTTCCCCTCAGCTGAGCTGTGACCAGCAATTAAAGGCAATCAGCAGTGTCCTACTTAACGCAGCACTTGAAGCCATTAGCCGGAAGCCCAGGATGCAGAAAGGGTGTTTTTGGTGGGGGCTGGTGTTTGTGATGAGCCAGATGCAGCCAAGCTCTTTGCTGGGGAGATGGGGCCAGGACCTCCTGGGTGCCGGGTTAGTGAGTGGGGAGTAGATACTGCTATGGCTTCTCTCACCTGGAGGACTTTGCAGGCTTTGGGTTGGTCTCAGCAGCTGGTTTGGGGAGTGTAACCCATCCACTGAAATCCTGGGGCCTTAGTAAAGCCCCTGCTGCCTTTGCTAGCATCTGCAAACACTTTCAGGCCAAGCATCAAAGAAGTGTCGTCACGTGGGCAGCGCAGGTTCGCAGCTGATGTTGATGTCTCTTCAGAGCAGGAGGTGATTGGGATTTTTTGGTCCCGATTCTTTGGCCGTGGTGCTAAAAGGAACAGCCATCCCTGTTGCATCTGCAGCCCTGGAGCACCTCTGCCTACCACCAGACAGTGCTGTGGGTGCCATTGGTCCCCCATGCTGTGCCCAATGACCTCTTTTTGGACACCATTCGGCTGGGCCTTGGGGATGAGATAGAATGTGTTTCTAAAATGTCTTGAAATGGGTTTAAATGTGAAGCGAGCCTTCATACACCCAGCTCTGGTGCAGCACCCACCCAGCACCCTTTGCAGGGCAGGCAGGGACCTTTTCCATCCCTTTCCATCCCCAGCCCTGCGACAGCCCAGCCGCCGTTTTGATGTATACGGTACCATACGCTGCTCTGTCTGCCAGGTGCCTCCTGCGCCCTGGGTGGCCCCTCTTTCTGTGCACATCAGGCATTTCCCTTATAGCCCTGGCACGGAGCCACAGCCATACGTAAGCAGCTGCTCAGCTATTAAACAGCCTTATAATCTCAGGACTTAGCATCAAAGCAGAAGCTCTCTTAGCAGAGACGTGCAGGGATCAGACTTAAAAGAAGTCGCCAAAGTAGGCTGGGGAAGAGTCTTTGCCAAGTAACATCTGTCTAAGACAGTTAACATTAAGTACAAAAAAACCCCACCCTTTTGTTCGCTTCTGTTTAATGAGCAAGAGAGTGCTCACTTGGAGCCCAGCGTCTCATTTCGCTTTCTAAACCAGGTCTTGCATAAGCCCATGTACTTACCTGATCTTTTCCTTCTCTTTCAAAACAGACATGCAAGCCCAGCTGGCCTTTTGCTGACAGCTGTAGTGGCAATTTCCTACACAATCGCAGTGCTGTATGAGGGGTGAGTAGCTTTGCAAAACCAGAGAACTTCTAATTATTTCTACCAGCTTTAACTCCCGAGGTTTCAGGGAACTGCAGAAGTAGAGATGTTTTTTCCAATTAATTCAGCAGGGAAGAAGGAAAACAGAGGATTGTTTTTCAATTGTTTTGATAATGGGCAGCTTCCTCTCTGAAACTATTTGCTGAGTTCTAGGAACATTTATGCATTTGTTTATTTTTATCAAAATGAGATCCTTTTTTCTTTTGGGAGCCTGATTCTGTCTATACAAGAACAATAAGGAAGGCAGTGAGAGGACTCATTGTGCCATCTGAAGAGACCCTGCAAGAAGAGCTTGCCTTTTGTAGTTTCTTAGGTGGGCTTCTCTGATATTTCACACCACAATAGCCTGGCAACCCAGGACGGAGCAGCCCATAATTGTTCCCAGAAGCAGCAGTTTTACTTCAGCAGTGCAAGGTCTTTTGTATTTGGGTGGGAGAGGAGATGCAGGGGGCCACGGCCAGTCTGAATGCAGGGGGAGTCTGAGCGTGTGCTGAGCAGGGATGGTGCTGGGTGGGAGCAGCTTAGAGCCACTCCACAGTCCAGAGAGACCGAGCTGAGAATTGCCAAGGAACGGGAACAGTTGGGCTGTGCCAACCTGCGAAGGGCAGATTTTCTGGGCCAGAAAGGGAGCATGCAGTTGTCTTGATTTTAATTCTTACCCCCTTCTTTTGCCCCTCTTTTGTGTCTCTGCCCCCTTTCTCCCCAAATTTCCATCCTCCCAACCACAGGCCTTTCACAGAGGAAATATATCGACGGAAACAGAAGGGCATGAAGAACAAGTAGCAACAGGTATGTTTGCTGATCGGTGTTTCAGTGACAGGGGCTGCTTCGCTGGGCTCCCCCACCTACGAGCGCGTTAAATGGGGATGGAAACACCACCCGCCCTCCCAGCACACCCCTGCCCAGCCCTGCCCTTCCCCGGCTCCTACAGAGCCCTTCCTGCACTTCTCGAAAGATTTGAGCTTCACAGCTCTGCAAAAACCCAGGTAGGGAGGCTTTACACAACGATGGTTGTGTCCGCCTCTTGGCAGTCCACCAGCAACCCCCAAATTGGGTTGATTAGATACTTGAGAGTCAGCACAAGGGAAAATTGCTGGGGAGCTTCGAAGCTCCAGGCGCAGTCTAAATCAGACAGAAAAAAGCAGCTATTGGCCATGGCAGGTGCTCCAGCAAGCAGCAGGGATGGTGCGAGAGGGCACATGTGCCTGAACACCCCATGGGGAAACCAGGCATCCCTGCTCCAGGCTGCTCCGTGCCCGCACCCGCAGCATTTCTGCACAAGGGGCTTGCACCAGCTGACCCCAGAAACTCAGCCCAGGCTTGCTTTTTGGGCCAAAAGCTTCTACAAAAGCACAAGTTCCTGCCACAGGCTCCTTTCCCTGGGGTTAAATGCCACCCTAGAAAGCCCTGGCACATGTGCCTGCTGGTGGCTGGAGAGGCTGGACAAGCCCACAGCTCTGCTGAGGCTTTGGCAAAGATGCTGTAGCAGCAGCGAGATCCCTGACAGACTCTTGTCTCTTTGCCTTTTGCAAAGCAGTGTCTCGGATACCTCGGCACAGTGTGCCTCTGGTCCCCACGCTGTCTGATTTGCCCGTTTTCCTACTGAGATGTATCCTACTAATTTGCCCAGCAACACTTAATGAGCCAACTGAGCACCCGGTGGTATTTGGAAGTGATCAGAGGAACAGCCCGAGCATGGCGGCACCTGGAGGTCCCTGTCCCCAGGTCCTTATTCCCCATTGCTGGGTCACTGCAGCTCCTGCCGTGAAGGCGACGCTCTCCCAGGAGCTGCGTGGCTCAGGACCTCCCGACCTCTCCTCCCGCACTTATTATTAGAGATCTACAGGGGAAAAAGCAACCCAGCTCCAGCCCCGAACTGGAGGGCAAGCAGAGGAATGATGGAGACACTGGGGGCCTTTTGGAAGCAAGCTCTGAGCGCAAGGAAGCTCTGGCTCTGGCTGATCCTGATGATCATCTGAAGATGCTGCCAGAGAGCTACGGGAAGCAAATAAAAGCTCAGGCAAAGCCACAGAGAGGGCTCAGGAACACCTGAGCTGTTCACACACAGTTGGAGAAGGAAGAGGGGAAACTGCTGCAAACTCAACAAAAAAACCTGCTGCAAACCCAACAGCAAAACCCCTCTTTCTGGGAGGGGGAAGCTGCCCTGTCCAGAACTGTGATTTCCCATCGGTACAGGGCCCTGGAGCATCTCTGCCCTGTTCGCAAAAGGCTTTAAGAAAGATGAAAAACACGTAGATGTGGATGAACAACCTAAATCACTGCACGAGGGGGATGGAGGGCATCCCATGGGGAAACCCCAGCATGGAGAAGACCAAGGAGAAGAGTCAGTCTCCACACAGGCCGTGCAGATATCCCATCCCTGGACCCCCTCCACACCCTCCCAGCCCTTCCTTTTCCCCAGGGGCCACGTGAGGGTCCTGCCTTCCCCACCACCCAGTGCCTTCCAGCTATTTTCACTGCCTTGCAGGGGCAGTGGGTGGCAGGGAGGGGAAGAGCTGCTTCTGTCTTCTGCCCTGTGCAGCAGCTGGGTACAGATCTGCCCCTCTGCCCCTGCCACCAGCCTCGGTGAGTCCCAAAGAGCCCAGTGCTGGATCCTGCCCTGACGGGAAGATCCCAGGGGTGATGCTTCAGACTCAGGCTCAGTGTTTATAGATTCCCAGAACAGTTTGAGAAATAAGCTGTAAATGACCAAAAAAAAAAAAAAAAAGAAGCCGTGTCAAGCTGCCGGCAGTGGCTTTGGAGAAGGGGAGCTGCGCCGCTGCTGGCTCCTGTGCCGACACCAGGATGCAGTGCCACGTCTCAGCGTCGCGTTGTCCCCTCTGCAGAGGAGGGTCCTTCCTTTTCTCAGTGTCACCTCTGCGAAACAGTCTGATTTCCCTTTGCTTTTGCATGTTGTAATTCACCCTTTGGGCATTACTCAGCAGGAATTAAAAGCGTTGGTTTCTTTACAGTCCAGCCTCCATTTCCTTCAGCCAGGCTCAGGGGTGCCCTGTTTGTGTTTCACCGCTTCAGAACCACTACATGGGGATTTATTTTTTTTTATCACCATCTCAAACGACCTTCCTCTTAAAGACTTGGGCATAGTATTTTATTTTTAGATAAGTTTCCACATCCCCTTCACAGTTAATGTTTATAGATGGAGGCTAAAACAGACCAGTACCCATAGCAACCAGCAAGGAGAGGATACATTGCAGTATTCAGACAATTTATGTCGGAGTTACCAGTCCTGGCTCAAAGTCTCTGATGTAAATAAATTCAGATTTGTTGGTAGGTGAAATCAGTATTTACCGAAGAGACATGTGCTCGTTTGGGAAGAATTGCTCTTAATGAGAACGCAGCAAGGGCTGTATTCGTGCTGTCTCATTCCCAGTCTGGAGACCATGTACACCTTTCCCTGTCCCCGCTGTGAGGCTGGGGGGACCCCATTTGTACCATTCCCATCCAGCCAGGATCAGCCCCTCGAGATGCGTGTCTGTCATCAGAAACCCCGGTGATGGAGCCGCTTCCCCTCACGTGCTCACAGCATCCCAGAAAAACGGGGGGTTGGTGTTCTGGGACCAGCTTCCTGGATTCCTTCTCTCTTGATACACCATTTCAAACCCAATCCTTCCCACTTCCCAGTCGCTCTGTGTCGGCTTTGCATGGCACAAGGGTTTTATCTGGGACTATGCCAGATTTATCCCCAGTTTTAGTAGCTCTTTCCACAGCAGCCGGTGTGAATTAATGTGTCGCTACATTCACAGAACTGGTTCTGGCTGCCGTAGAGCTGGAGTTTGACGTTTCAGAGGCATCTGCTCTGTTCCCGAAAGCAAACCTGAGCTGGAAGGTGATGTTCAAACCCATCTTCTGGGGTCCAATTCTACCTTTCTCCCCCTGGGGTGGGGGTTTGGCCCTGGCCAGGCCCATTCCCGGCAGTGCTGTGCTGCTCACCGGTGCTGTGGAGAGGAAAACAGAGACCCTTATTTATATTGTTTTATAGTATTTAACAACAAGGGATTAAGGGACTCTCCCCAGTTCTAAGGAAAAAAAAAGATTCCTCTCCAATGACCTAATATTTCTAAGAATTTGAGAGTACAGAGGGTGGGGATGAAACCTTCAGGCTGAGCATGAAGCACTGGTGGTGTTGGAGCTCTTTCCCCTCTTCCCATCCTCAGGGCCAGTACCTGGCTGTGGCTGGGCCATGTCCTGCACCTCGAGGCCTCCAGGTCAGGACGTGAAACTCTTGTTGCTTCCGAAAGAGAACCCTGCACCCTTGGACCCCCAGGACCAGCCGGTTAAAGCCCCGGTGCCGTGCCAGCAGGGGCAGCCGCATCCCTCCGGCTCTCGGGGAGGCCTCAAGGGCCAAGCGAGGTCCCTGGAAATGTGGTCATGGGTCCATTTTCAGAACTTCGTGGCTTCCAAATCCAGTGTGGGGCTTGCTGGGCCCGTCGGAGCTTGGAGGAGGGGATGGTTGCAGTCTTGGGAAATGCTGCACGTGAGGCTGCGTGTCGATGCCACAGATAATGCCTGCCTTGATGTTTGGGGACATTTCTCCTGAGCAAACACTGGGAAAGGAGAAAGTAGTTAAATCTTAACTCCTGCCTGGCAGGGACAGACAGGCCACCAAGTCCATCACACCACACTACCTCAGGTCACCCTGTCCTGCCGCACAGCCCCTGGCTGTGCCCGCCCTCGTGCTCCACCCAGGTTTTCCCCACATTGCCGCTCACGTGGCTCCCTGGCACGTGGCTCCCCTTCCCGAAACAGCATGTGATATTTTTTTTTTAGGGGTGGGGAGATCACCCATCCAAACCCAAACCACCCCAGCGATGGGCACGTGATGCGGTGCCAGCTCCAGGCTTGTGGGATGCTTCATCCAGAGACACTTTGGGAGGTGCAAGTTGTATCCTGAGGTGCTTTCCCCGAAGGCAACCTGATGGCAGGGACATCCAGAACCAGGAACATGTCCCCAAAGGCTCTGCCCTCCATTGTGACCACCTGTAACCCCACGCCCGTGTTTGCTTTCGCCCAGTGAAGCTGCACTACCTTCACCCAGGGGAGCGGTGGCCCTTACGTGGCAAATAAACACGATTAGCCAGGAACAGAGAATAAATACATGGCGCAATCAAGACAGCATGTGTGGATTCAGTGGAGGGATGGAGAAGTCACAATTCCCATCAGGATCCTGCCAGGCCCGGCTTGCTGAGTCTGCACTTCTGCTACTTGGGAAGATGGAGAGAAACAGGGGGCTCGGGGCTCAGAGGTGGCTCCCACACCCCCGTCCTGATGACGAGGTTGAGCCTCTACACGGTCATTCGATGGGCAGAGGAGATGGGCTTGTCTGGCAGCAATTGGGATTTGATACAAAAGTAAAGATGAGTTTTGAGCACAGGCGCTACAAGAGCTTTTGGGGGCAGTTTGAGCACTGACTGTTTTATTGGGAACCCCTTAATCCAGAGAAGGCAAATGGGGGAGACGACAGGATTTATCTTTACAGGGGAATAAACCAGCCTCCTCTATCTCTTAAGGCACAGGGAAAGCAGTCTGGGCTTTAAATGGTCACAAAGAAACGCAATGGGAAGACTTCCCTGGCAGGAAGGTGTTTCCAGGTGGGGAACCACAAGTGTTGGAGCTGCCTGGGGCAGGACCAGGATCCGTCCTGCCAGGGCTGAGCCCCATGGGCACCGCTGGCAGGCTCCTGCTCTGGGGTCTGCGGGTGCAGGCAGCCCCCCTCTCATGGGTGCCCAGGGGATGCTTCACAATGACCCCCAGCACTGGGAGAGCAGCAGCACCCAGTGCCCACCGTTCCCCTGGCCCTTGGACAGCACGGAGACGTCATCCAACCCATCCCAGCCCACCTCCGCCCTCCATCCCGGAGGCCTTTACGCACAGAGCTCCCACTATGTGCCAGAGGACAAGTTCTGAGGCTGTTTTCTTTAATTTGCAAACTAAAAAGCCGTCCAGGGACAGCCTGGAGAGCTGGCCATGCTGCAGTGCATCCTTCATGGATCTTATTTCAAAAAAAAAAAAAAAATCCCAGGAATGTGCTGCTTTTTCCATGTTGCCTTTTCTTTGGAAGGGAACTGTTTACCAAGCAGCTCCTTTCTGAACCAAGGTCGTAGGAGGGAGGCAGAGCAGCCAGAGCCCCCTGGGAAGGAGCTCTGCCTCCAGTTTTGTTTTGCTGCTGCACCAGGGCTGAGCACTTGTGGGAGCCTTGAGGGTCCTCGGTTTGGGCACCGGCAGAGTGGGGCTTAGCCCTCGCTCAGCTCAACCTCCACCAACCCCAACACCTTCACCCACAGCCTCAAACCTTGTGCTGGCCTCAGCCCCCTCTGGACCCCACAGCCGAAGCAGCGGGGGAAAATGTGGGACCTGGGCATGAAACACCTCCAAGCTCCAAGCCCTCAGCACTGGCTATGCATCCCTCTGCCATCTCCAGCCTGTCACTGCCTGACCATCTTCCTGCCTCCTCTTGAGCTTTTATTTTTGTCCTATAACCCCAACAGCCTTCCCTATTTCCACGGAAACCCTCCTGAAATCTGTAGTAACGCATCCACCGGGGATCACTGAGCCTCCCTCTCCCCTGTGCCCTATATTCCCAGCCCAGGCGCTGCCCATCTCCGGTTACAGGTGACATTTCTCTCTAATCCCAGGGAAGCTACTGCTCTTTGGAAGGGAGCAGAAGGTGACGGAGTTTGGGGACATGTCCAGGACACACAAATGCCTTTGTCCATGCCAGATGCTGGCGGGATGCTGCTTCCCCCAAGCAAATGGTGGGCAAGAGGATGGCATGAGATGGGATGGAAACTGGGAGCAGAGGATCCCCAGGGTGCCCCTGACTTGGAGAACCCCAGCTCTGCTCTGCGTAGCTCTTGACCCAGCTGGGCCACATGGTTATCATTAACGATGAGTTAATGTCACCTCAGTGCACTCAGAGAGATGTTTCCATGGCAGGCGAGTGGGGCACCATCCCCAGGGTGGCTGGGCAGCAAAGCCAAGTCCCCAACCCCAGCTCTCGCCACGTGCTCGGCTGCCCAACACGTTTTTGCTGCTGTAAGGAAAGCAGCAGCACCAGGGGATCTGCTGGAGCATGCAGCTACCCCAGCTTTGCCCCGCAATATGGGTGTTCAGCCCTTGCCGCAGGTTTTTGGCAAGTTTATTGCATCAAGAATGGGAGGAGAAGATGCAGAAAGTCTGGAGACCACAGCACGGCACGAGCCTGCTCCGGGAGCTGCTTTGTGCTGGGCACAGGGATGGCATCTCCAAGGGAGCTCTCACCGCCCCTTGCCTGGATGACTCAAGGAATTGGGATTTGAGACATGTCTCAGGCTTTCAAGTTCTCTGTTAATCAAATCCCAAATGCTAAAAGGAATCAAGAGACATGAAAAGTGTTGCTAAAGAAGTAGGAGGTGGGGGAAGGAAACAAATAAACCCACCCCCCCCGGTCCCCAGTGACAGAGCAACCCACTTCTGCATCATATCTCATCTGGGAAAAATTATATGTTGTGAATTACGTGCTTCTTTTGAAAAGCCTTAAAGGAGATTTAATAAAATGAGACAAGCTAATAATATAGGGAATGAATAGCAACCCTGGATGCTGCATCTTGATTTAATCAGATGCTTTTCCCCAGGGGGACAGGAAAGAGCTATAGCTAAAGCCTGCCATCCCTTCCCTACCCAGCTGCTCCCCTCTTCCTCCAGCCTCTCGCTCCTTCTCCCATCCCAGGGGAGCAGCCAGGGCAGGATTTGGGGTCCCCCAAGACCCTGCTGTTCACCAGCAGCCTCTGGGAAACAGGCAGCCCACGCTGGTTATTGATGAGCAGGCTAACAAGCAGCACACCGGGGTGCTGTACGCTGAACAGGGAGAGGGTCCCTGTCTGAAGAACAGGTCCCTGTCCTGGGGGAGAAAAGCAAGAACTGGGGAGCCAACAGAGTGGGACTGGGGAGCAGGCTTGGCTCCGGGTGCGTACTCGCAAAGCCCCAGCCTGGAGCCAGGGAATGCCACGTGCACCTGCGCCGGGGCCAAGCCCTTGGTAGGATGTGAAGCATCTTAACAGCAATGATAAGGAGCTCCTGTCCGGTCTGCTCCTCTCCGTGGCCTGGGAGAGGCTGCAGGGTCTGAGCGTGCCGGGGCAGGAGAGGCACAAACGTCTGTTCCAGTCTTGGCTTTTTCACCTCTTGGACCCGCAGGACCCAGCTGGGAGCTGAAGCCGGCTCAGCCCCGGGGGTGACGGTACTTTCCGGCTCCACAGCACGCTCAGAAATCAAAGTCATGTTCTGATGTAATTGTTCGTTTCCGAGTATCCCCCCACCCGCCTGTCCCTGGCCAGGCACTGCGATACACACTCCTGCCTCCTGGTACATTTTGCTTCCTACATTTTTGCAGAGGCTGGGGCTGCTGTGAGCTCTATTTTGCTGCTTGCACAGTTCGTTCAAGTCAGACCCTGGGGAGCCGCATGTTCTGTCGCTGGGATGTTTGTGTGACTTTCGTGGAATTTCCTTTCCTCAGCCACTTGGTTGTGGCCGCTGGGCAGGTTTTATTCATCAGCAGGTGGCTGGTAAGCCCGGGAGAGTGCAAATAGGCAGAGAAATAGCAAGAAACAGGGGATTGATTTGTGCTGAAGATGTTTGATTCCATTCAAGGTGCTTGCAGTCGCTGGGTTTCATGCACAGCAGCCTGACTGCAGCTCTTGCTGTACCGAGCAGCTGCGTGAAGGAGTCTGTATCCTCCAAAACTGGGCAAAACCCCCCACAAATGGCAGGGTCAAACTGCACAGGTGGTACGGCAGCCGCGGGGGAAAATGCTATTTTACCTGCCCCTGCTTAAAACCTGGGCTATTTGCAGTCAGGTCAGAAATAGGTGGTGATTTTTAACAGCGTCATAACCGTGGGAAGGTTTTTGCCTCGCAGCGAGGTGGGTCCTTTATCATCAATCACTGGCAGCTGGCTACTGGCAAATGTGCTCTGCTTCCACTAGGAGACAAGTTTCTAGATGATCTTGGGGAGACTCAGCCTAATGCCTCGTAATGCTCCTCTCCTTAGGCTCTGCGTGACTGCGAGGCGCTGGGCTCTGGGAGAGCGTGGGCAGCACCCACACCCTCTCCCCGGGAGCTCCCGCAGCCGTCAGCTCTCCTTCTCCATGCCGGGATCCCTGCTCGTGCTCTCGGGGGGTGCCTGGCAGGGTGGCTCCGGCTGCACCCCACACCCCGAAGCCGAGCCCACAGGATCCCAGCGGCACAGCTGTGGTGGTGTGCTCTGTCTTTGCTGTCACCCATGAGCCTTTTGGAGGGAGAAAATGGATTTTCCATTGCTGAAGCCTGTTAACCTAAGAGCAGGCTTCAAGCAGGCTATTTTCACCAATTCCTGGCACTATGAATAGTTGTATGGTTAACAATAAATGCCAATCGAGATATTGGATTTGTCTGTCCCCCAGAGGCTGGCACTTCCTATTCCCCCGTTGTTTTCCATCAACTGCTTAAATTAAATGACCTTTTTTGTTATTTTGGGGCGATACATTTGTGCTCTGTAATCGGCTATTAAACCTCTCCACTGTCTTGCACACAGATCAATGAACATGGGAAACTGTCCCACTTTCTCTCCCCAAAGTGTCCTTGTGCTTCTGCTGCTGGGCAGGATGTTTCCCTCCAGGCAGGGATGGGGCTGCAAAGGGGCTGTTTAAACCCCAGCCCCCTCCCACCCCACAGACCTCCATAAACCTTTGGACAGGGTTTAAATTAATGCCCAAGTGTGAGACCACACTCGGGGGAAGGTGAAAAGCTCAGCAGCATCCGTTTCCTAAGTGGTGCTGATGAAATGCACCGTGCTCCACAGATAAGTGTGTTCTGTCCCTGAGGTCCCTCTCAGTCTTGAACCTTATTTAAGCATCACCTTTCATTAAGGTTTGTTTTGGTTTGGTGGGTTTTTTTTTTGGTTGTTTTAATTAAAGATCCTCACAGGTGTTTTTAATTCAAACTTTCTCACCAGCTTGATGTGAAAGAGGAACGTGGCTTACCCTGGGCCCTGTCTCTCACTGGTGGCCCCCTGGAGACCCCTCAGCACAGCGACCCTCCCCTTGCCCGAGGGCCACTGCACGGGGGTGGCTGGCTCGGGGAGATGCTGGCCGAGCCCGGCACCTCTGCGAGGATGCCTCAGCCCTGGGGGGCTGCCCGGGCTCGCCCTTGCGTCCAGCTCCAGCAAGACTCAGCACCCAGCAAGACCAAGCGCTCCGAGTATCCCTGCTGCCTGCATCCCTGGGAGCATTCTTCTTCTTCCTCCTCCTCCTCCGGGCAGCCCCTCCCGGCCCCACAGAAGCTGCAGGGCCCCGTACAGCGGCTCATGCCCCCCGGCCGAGCTCCCCCAGCCCTGTCCGGGAGAGTCCTGCCTGCCCTGCCCGCTCCTGCCCGCGCTGCCCGG